TAAGCTGCCCGCGTAAGGTCGCGCGTAGGCGCCTTCGTCTCCAATGTGGCGTTCTGCGCTCGCTGCCCGCGTAAGCCACCGCGTAAGGTCGCTGTATCTTCTCGCGTAAGACCTTTTTTTGATCCTCGCTCCGATGTCGAATTCCAGAATGCAAAATCGCCCACGTTCTTGGATGGCCTGCAAAGCGTCGGCCACGCGCAGAGGGGTGTATAGGGGGAGGGGGGAAGACTTCTCAGAAGCACTCCTGCTTCTCTTACAAGGCGCGGGCCCTGTGTCTACAGATGTGAGGCCGCCGCCTTCTGAGAAGCAGCCTCATTTCTCTCTCAAGCCTTCCCCCCCCCCTGCCCCCCCCTGTGCGCGCCGCCAAAGAGAGTGGGACCTTGTGTCTGCAGATGTAAGGCCGGCGCCGCCTGAGAAGCAGCCTCTCGGGGCTCAAGAGACGGGGGTCAATGCAAACGGGGGTTGGCCAGGGCACCGGATCCTGCAGGATCCTGCGAAGACCCCCTTTGGCTGACCTGGGTTAGCGAGCCGCTCGTGGCCGCGAGTCGGCCGCGCATATTGGCTGACCTGGGTCTGCGAAGACCTGCGTTGCAGTAGTTTTTTTTGTTTTTCCTGCATTGCAGTTTTTCGGTTTCCTGTTGACCCGGGTCTGGATTGACCCGGGTCAGCAGATCCCCGAGGGCCTCCTTCCACTCTCAAGCCTTGCCCCCCACCCCCCCTGCCCCCCTGGTGCGCGCCGCCAAAAGGAGAGTGGGGCCCTGTGTCTGCAGATGTAAGGCCGGCGCCTTCTGAGAAGCAGCCTCCTTCCTGTGAAGCCTTCCCCCCTCCCCCTGCCCCCCCTGCGCGCCGCCAAAAATCAGGAGGGGGAAAACACACAGACACAATTAATCGTCGATCCCCAGGAAAATATGGGAAAATAGCGAGGGGGGAAGACGAAAACCCAGAAAATAGGAGAAAATATGGGGAATCCTTCTACTCATGTGTGTTTTCTTCTGTGTGTCCCAGGACCCCTTCAGAAAAGGGGAGTTGGGGCCGGGCCGTCGGCCCTGCGGGGGGCCCAGGACTGCGGGGGGGCACCCGCCTACGGGGCGCGCCGCCCGAGGGGGCGCGCCGAGGGGGGCGTGGCCGCCGCCCCCCCCCCCCCCTCCCCCAGGGGCCGCCGCCCGCGGGGCGTGGCCGAAAGAGCGCGTGTCATCACGACTTCAAGCGGGGGAAATCTGCATTTAGTCGGCGTCACCCCAACATACTCATACTAGATGTGCGTCGCCCCCCCCGGGGGTGATGCGCGCACCGAGAAATCTTGTGGTATATGCGTCGTGGCGGGCGCATTCTGGCCACACCGCTCGGGAAACGACGTATGAACTACAAGATGATTATACTAGATGTTCGGGTCGGACGCGCGCCTCCAAGGAGAACATGTAGTACTAGTACGTTTTTGTGCCTCCCGTTCAACTTTTCCAGCGCGTACCTCCAGTGCTTCAACACATTGGAAAGGGCTTCCTCCCGATGGAGCCGTTCTGCACCTGGAGCGCTCCGCTCGCGGAGGGCTCCGGCGGCCATGACACCTCTTCTCCAAGTCCGCGGCGTATGCGCTTCTCACGGTCGGGGCCCGCGTGCTCTGAATGCTCTCGCCTCAGAGCTGGCCACCTGTGGAGGCGAGAGGTCGCTCTTGTCATTCGCCTCGCAGGCTTCCCATTCTTGCAGGTACCTCTCAAGCTGTGACGCCATCGCTGCAATTGGGCTTGTTTTCCGTTTTGTCCGCTCCAGGGCGACGGTTTCGGGGCCATCGTGCTTCGAATTGGGTACAGTCAACCCCCATAGTAAAGATGGGTAACCTTCCTAAGGATACCCTTGCATCCTTGCCTCCTCGGCCCGTCCTTGGCCACTTTCGTTGGCCGCGCCCCGCTCGAAGAGCTTCGAAATGGGCGTCCAAGGCCCTTGCATCCTTATCGCGCATCCTTACTATACGGGTTGACTGTAACAGGCAGCATCGCCAGCTTCACATACACCGCGAACGCGAGTTCCTTATCCACTCCCCCCTCACTCTGCCCCCCTCGCTCTCAATCTCTCCTTCCTCTTCCTTTTTTATTTATTGAGTCCCCACTATTGAATAATAACTTTCGTTGACCCCCCCTCCAGTGCACCTGGTGTATTTTCCACAGAAGTGTTCCTCGTGGGGCTCGCACCCTGGTCTAACAAGGAGGTCATCTTCCCCAGATAGTGTTGCCCGCCCCCAGTTTGCAACAACTTCCTGCTTATTATTTCCTCAAGGTTTATCTACTGGCTGCCGCCTCTGCCGCCGACCCTGAAGGAGGTCTCCTCCCAAGGCGTCCTTTAGGGCCGGCGAAGAGGGAGGAGAATGAGGAGGAGGGGGTGGGGGAGGAGGAAGAAGCAAAGAGGGAGGAGGTGGAAAAGAGAAAAGGAGGAGGAGGAGGAACAGGACGAGGAGGATGAGCAGGATATCACCATCGTCAGATGAGGTTAACATGGTGAGCGCCAGGCTACCGGCCGAAGTAGACTCGAAGCTGCGGGGTGTCATTCGAGATGCGGGCACGCAGAAACGCGACGAGGACGGCATGGCCCGGCCCTTCGGCGGGTTGAACGTGGTGCTGAGTCGTGGCATCTGGCAACTGGCGTCTCCGGATGGCGGTTCTCTTGAAGACTTGCCGACGGAGCATATTTGGGCGGCCTGCGAGTACCCTTCAGTCTGGCCAGTACGGCAATGACATTAGGGTAATGAAAGTGGGTGACCTCTAAAGGTCCTTACCTTGAAACATAGAAAAATCATGATTGTTTGCGCGGGCTTATCGACAGATTTGGACCCCAGCAAAATAGGGCCAATGATCATCCACCCGCGGCGGCCGCCGCTGATGATCGAGAGAAGGATCAGGATCCCTGATGGTGACGATGATGATGATGGGAAGGAGTAGGAGGAGGAGGAGGAGGAGGAGCAGGAGGAGGAGGAGGAGGAGGAGGAGGGGAAGGAGGAGGAGGAGGCTGGAAGAGCGCGAGAGGTGCGATGACGCTTGGCTGAAAGCGGCGCTGGACGAGTTCCGACCATCGGTATCACCATCGATCTCACTATCGTTCTCACCATCGATCTCACTATCAGTTTCACTACGGAACACCGACGGGACAACACTATCGATCCTTCTATCGATCTCATTCGATCGATCTCACTATCGATCCCACTATCGATTTCACAATCGATTTCACTATCGATCTCACAGTCGATCTCACTATCCCTGCCACTATCGATCTCTCAGTCGATCGCGTGATCGATCTCAGTATCGATCTCGCTATCGATCTCACTATGGATCTCACTATGGGTCTCACCTTGGACGTCACTATCGGTGTTACTATCGATCTCACTGTCAGTCTCACTATCGATCTCACTACGGGACGCCGACGGGATATCGACGGGACACGATAGTACACCGATTAAACACCACGGCGGGACACCCACGGCCACCGCCGACCGACCCAGGAGCGGCGGTCTTTTGGCCCGGCGGCGCCCTGGCCAAAGGGTGGCTTCATGACTTTCGCCCGCCCATGCAGCTTCGCTTCGCGCGCACGCATGACACGAACACGAAAACGAAACCGAGCATTCCTGCACGGCCGAAGCCCGCGCAGCCAGGAGCTGTTTGAAACGGGCGGGTCGAGTGCCGCGATGGAACTTGCGAGGCGCTGTGTGAGCATAGCGGAGGCGCGGGCGCAGCGGTCGTGGGTTCGCGGCGAAGCCGCCCAGTCACCCCGCAGGAGATACGCAAGAAGGGGTGCAACTTGTGCAGGGAAGATCGCGCACGGCGCCGCCTCGTCCCGGACGGAAAGGATGGCCCGCGGCTGCAGGCGGACAAACATTCAGAGTCGCGCCAGGTGTGTCCCAGTGCAGAGATGCGAAATACGATGATATATGTTCCCGCGCGAGATGCGCCCACGCCGGATGCCCGTCGTGAGCGTCCAGATCTGCCTATGCAGACATTATCATGGCTGCAGCGCCACGACGAGGACGCCGGAGATTTGCACGGGGTCCCACCGATAGCAGAAGGCATGCCCGGTGTCCTCCCCGATCACAGTGACCGCAGCGAGGACAAATATCTGTTGCGCGGGCGCGCGGGTCTACGCGTAGTCGTGGGTGTGCGAGGGGGGCGGCGCGCGAGATCGCGTGACAGTTGATACCCGTGCAGTTCGGTGAATGTGACGACGGGCGCGGAGGCCGGGCCCCGCGCATGGGCGATAGAGGGACTGAGCACTCATGGTTTGCATCCCGCCGTCCCCCCAAGGAAATACTGGTTCGCGGACAAGGGCCGCGCACATCCGCGCGTGGAAGTGACGCGGCGGTAATTTCCTCTGGCGCCCGCCTTCGGTGTCGCAGCCCACGTAGCGCAAAGGCAGACGTTCAGGCGCGGTGGCATCGTAGACCTGTGCACCGGCGTGGCATTGGCGCGGGTGCAGCGTCGCAGGGACATGCTGATCTTTCGGCCCTGCGACATTGCGCCGTGCCAAAAGAGGGCGAACGGAAATGCCCGAACTTGCTCTTGTGGTGTGGTGTGGTAGTCGCCAGTGGGACTCCGAAGCATTTCTTTTGTCCCTGTGATTGGCTTCGCGCCAGACCGGTGTCGATCCTGATGATTTTTTGGTTTTCTGGAGGGCAACCCTACGATTGGCCATCGTCTCGGGCAGGTCGCCCTTGGGGAGAGGAACGCGTTCGAGGCTGATCCCAGGTTGGCGGGGACTGCGTTCGCCCTCGCCCAGGGGCCCGAGGCGGGAGCCAATAGGCCAGAGCATTCGGAAACAACAACGGCGGCGGCGGCGGGGCGACGGCGACGACAACGCGCGTCGTCAACGACGACGGCGCCGCCGACATCGGGGATCGGCGTCGTTGATGTCGACGGCGACGTCGACGTCGACGTCGACGTCGAACAACGAGTTGACGACAACGACGACGTCGACGTCGTCGACGGCGTCGACGCCGACGGCGGCGCCCGCCGCCGGCCGAGGCGCGGGCCCGGGCGCCGCCGCGGGCGCGGTGGCCGGCGCCGCCGCGCACGCGGAGGACCGCCGCCGCTGGGCGCCGACGCCGACGCCGCCGCCGCGGGCCGTCGACGCCGTCGACGACGCCGTTGGAGCCGAGCTATCTCGACTTCGGGCAGGCCTCATTTCGATTTTCCGATTCGACTCGAGTCGGTTCCGATTGTTTTCGATTCGATTCCGATTCGATTCGGCTTCAAGTTCTGATTCGGGGTCCGATTTTTCAACGGAGGCTGCTAGTCTGTCGATTTCAGTCGATGCTATTTTTCCCCACTCAGCTTCCGATTTCCGCCGGTCCGGTGGATTCCGATCGCCAATCCGACTTATCGAGTCGATTTTGGGCTCTCCTGCCTCGGGATGCGGTGGATATTGGCATAATCGGGGCCCCCGGGTTATGATGTTCCAACCTACTTTAGCTTTGATCGCCAGAAAAAGTTTCGAGCACCAAGAAAGTACCGAAAGTCGAGGGTTTTCACGTGTCGGGCCCTGGGACACTCGTTCGACACTGTTTCGACTCTGTTTCGACACTGCTTCGACGCTGTTCCGGTTGCTTGAAATTATTTCTGGGATGTGGTCCTTAAGTACGATGGGAGCAACATAGCCCCCGGGGTCAAAATATGGTCACATTTGCCCTTTCCTGGGGCCTTGGGAGACCGGTTACCCTGGCGGTGGATGTTTTTTCGCCTAGCATCGCCGCCGCCGCCTCCGCCCGTCGTAGTCGTCGTCGTCGTCGTCGTCGTCGTCGTCGTCGCCGTCGTCCGTTCCCGGCTTTTCCTCGCAGGACGCCAAGGCGGACGGCAGGTACTTCACCTGAAGTGCCGTGGTGCGCTGGCGCGTCGCGGTTCGGTGCTGGGTGCCCGGACCCCTTCGCGTCGCGGCAAAGGCACGGCGGGAGGTTGGAGCCCGCGGGGGGTTTCAGGCGGCCCAGAAGATGTTCCGGCCAGGAGAAAGTGGAAAAAAGGTCGGCGGCGAAATCCGAGCCCTAAACCTCGTCGACCAACGTTTCAGGCAGTTCGATGGGTGCGCCGGGCATCATCAAAGCATGATGCGCGGCGACGCCTTGGTCGCGCATGTGATCCACGTCGAAAGCACTTGTGGGGTGTTCTGGAAAAGTGCCGACCGCCTACCGTTGTAGCCGTGACGAAGAATTTGTTGAAGACGTGGCGAAGTCCGAACCTTACCCCCGCCTCCCATCGATTCAGGAGAACCGATGGTTGGCGGGGGTAGGGTTCGGATGTCGCCACCTAAAGGAACCTCCTCGTCGCCTCGGCTGGGCGCGGCTCGACAAACTGGCCAACGCCCCCTGGAGGGGTCCGGGAACCGATTTTGAGCGGATTCGCCTTCGCCCCGCCTCTCGGCTGATTCTTTCGGGGCTCAGCTGCGCACTGCCAACAGGTCATCGGGGGGCACCAACTTTTCACCTACACCGATTTTGGTTACGCAAGTCTTGGGCCCAGGCTGTCATGCTCCCCTGGGAGCCACGGGCGAGGGTGTGCAACGATCATATGGGCCGAGGGTGGGCCCGGCCATGATCGGTGGAGGTGTGCAGTCGGCGGCACTGCTTGATTTTGGCTCCTGATGCTGCTCGGCGGCCCGAGAGAAGGCGGCAGGGGGTCCCCAGACCCCCGATGCCGTTTTTTTTGTTATGTCTTTTGTTTTTGTATTTCTCCTTTTTTTCGCAGCGCGCCTTTGCACAGGTCTGCACCCGTTCCCAGGGGCCGGTTTCTCTTCCCGAGTTGTTTCTTGACAGTCCTGGGGCTCGGCGAGGGCCCCAGGAGGCCGAGAATGTCACAAGGATTTTGGCGGCCGGAAAAAGGCGACAGGGCCCCCAGACCCCTGATGTCTTGTTTTCAGTCGGGCCTGTCCTTTCTACAGGAGGAATATTCAAAAATAGTTAAGAAATAGTCTAGGGACGATTTTTCTATGATTTTTTGGCATTTCTATACGTACACAAAAATTCACATTTCTTCGCCCGAAATCCCCCTGTAGGGGGACAGGCCCGACCTAAGTCTTGTTCTTCCAAACCCTCCTGTGCAGTTGGGTCCTCGTCTTGAATTCGCAGCGCCGCGCGTCTCCTCCTCTCCTTCTCCCCCCGTTCTTCCCTCCTCCTTTCCTCTTCCTTGTCAGCATCATCATCTTGATATTAATCACCACCCCCAGTATCATCACGTGTTCGTCACGCCCTTCACAGGGTTCGTACCGCCCTAGGGAGCTCCACCGAAGGCCCCAGCGTCGTGTGTGTGTGTGTTTTCACAGCGCGCCCTTGCAATGGTCTGGACCCGTTGCCAGGGGCCGGTTTCTCTTCCCGAGTTGTTTCTTGACAGTCCTGGGGCCCGGCGAGGGGCCCCAGAGGCCTAGAACGTTACAACATTTTCGGTCATGTGTTCTTTTCCACCCCGTGAGGGGGTCCGAAAACGTTGGAAAACCGTCGGCCTTGTTTTTTCCCCACCTTGCGAGGGGGTCGGGGCTGGCTTGCTTCACCACCGGCTCGCGACCCCCTGTCAGGACCTCTGGAAGGCCTGGAGGCTGCCACCAACACCAAGACGGCGGGGCGTCTCCACCGATGAAAGTTGATCCTAGATTCTCGGTGTTGGCGGTAATCTTTCGGCCACCTGAGAAGCCTGAATACTACCAGCACCACCGAGACTGGGATCATCTTTCCTCGGTGCAGGCAACCCAGACCTCCTGCGCTCCAACTTTTTCGATGCGTGGAACCCTGGAGGTCTGGACGGACCACTTCCCTACGGGGCCGTTTTTTCACCCCGAGTCATTTTTTTTGAAGGTTCCCGGCCCGAGGAGGCCGAACAATGCCCATAATAGGCCGTCACAATTGTTGACGCTTCGCGTATCCCCACCAAACTTAGTGACGGGCACTCGGTCTCCCTATCGTCGCTCCCACGCGCAACCTCGTTGTGCGACCACTCCCTGGGACACTGTGACCGTGAAGGGCTTGCTGACGTGGGTATACGGCAGCTTCTTCCTCTTCGAGCGCTTTCCTCGACCTGGCGTTGCGTGGGTTGCGAGGCGCTGGCTGTCACTTAGTCGTTTGGTACACGCCCACTTCCGATTGACCGTGTGTCCCTCACCAGGTGGGTACTCGTGTACTTCTGCGCTGCGGCACACCATATCTCTGGTCTCCTGCGTGCAGGCGCATCTCTCAGCAGTTGTTTTGAGGTTGCCTCAGTTGTCCTTGACCTCAGGCTCACTCTGTCAGCCGCGGATGCGTATTCTGAAGCTGCGACGGTTCGCTGGCGCTGTCAGAATTCCCCTCCTTGCTGGACGACGTCAGCTACGCTTTCGGTCTGCTCATACCCGACAGACTCCCTGGGCTGACTTTCTCGCACGGAGTTTGGTTCCCACCACCATGCGGTTGTCGGTTGTCACGACCCATGACTGGGAATGTACGGCGCACCATTTTGGCCGCGTCCGCTTTGCTTCCTGGGTGACTGACCCTTCAGACTCCCTGGGTTGCAGCTTGCACGACCGCCTGGCCTCTCAGACGCCCTGGGTTGCTGCTTGCCCCGCCGCCTGATCCGCGGCCCCCGCGCGCGCCCGGGAATTCGTCACGGCCGCAGCCCGACCGTGACCCCTCGCCGCCGGCGCTTCCGCCTGCGGCTGTAAAAAAATATCCCCACCAACCCTTTTTGTTTTTTTTTCTTTCACCCCCCTCCTCCTGTGCGCTAATTTAGGCCGTTGCATCTGCGCTTCGTTCCTTTACGCCGCCCGACTTGTCTCGCCGCGGTCGCGATCAAAATTATCCCCACCAACCCATCCAGAAACGATGCCCAGGAGAGTCGGGGTGACCAGGGCAGTGTAGGAGCAAGATACGGGGTAGCCGAGATCTGTCGAATGAGGAGGAGGAGGAGGGGGAGGAGGAGGAGGAGGAGGAGGAGGAGGAGGAGGAGGAGGAGGAGGAGGGGGACGGGGGTGAGGCAGGAAGGAGGAGGAGGAGGAGGAGAGAGGGAGGGAGGAGGGAGGAGGGGAGGAGGAGGAAGAGGAGGAGGAGGAGGAGGACAAGGAGGAGGAGGAGGAGGAGGAGGAGGAGGGCAAGGAGGAGGAGGATGATGAGGAGGAGGAGGATGTGGAAGAGGAGGAAGATGGCGAACAGATGAACCAGAAGCCTCTTGAATGCCCTTCGTGGTCTTCTCGGATGACTCATGGATGGTTTTTAGAGGCCTCTTGGGGCGTCTGGGGGGCATCTTGGCGGGCCCAGGGCAGTCTTTGAGCGTCTTGGGTGCCCCGGAGATCCTCTTGCGGCATCTTTGGGGTCTCTTGGGAGCCTCTTGGAGGCCCCTCTGGGCGCCTTTGGGGGCCCTCTTTGGGCGCTCTTGGGAGCCTTAGTTGCGCTCTTGGAGCCATCTTGGAAGACATCAATCAAAAAAGAAGGGAGCTCCAATCAGGGTACCCCTTCGGGCGCCCCAATAATCGCCTCTTGGGTCGCTCTTGGGGCGCTCTTGAAGCGCTCTTGAAGCGCTCTTGGGCGCTCTTGGGGCCGTCTTGGGTCTCTCTCGGGTCTCTCTTGGGGCCCTCTTAGGCCATCTTGGAGCCATCTTGAGGACTCGGATGGCCATCGCAAGCGAAAAGGCGAGAAGGGGAAACACATGGATTTTCCTGAGGTTGTGGACGGACTTTGGCCTCTTCGGGCCTCCTTGGGGAGCTCTTCGGCCACTTGGAGCCGTCTTGGGACGGTCTTGGGGCCTTTTGGAGCATCTTGGGAGCCATCTTGAGGCATCTTGTGGTATCTTGAGCCATCGAGGAGGTCATCGTGGGCTTTCTGAGGCACTCTTGGAGCCGTCTTGGGCCATCTTGGACGCTCCAACGCCTCGCGGGGCGCCCAGGGGAGGGGGCAATGGGGATGGGGTTAGCCCCTCCCCGAAGGAGAAGACGGGGGTCGGAAGAGAACGCTCTCGAGACCACCTATGCCCTTACAGGGCTGGTGGGATTTTCCTCGGAGCATCGGATCTCTGGCACACCGCCGATGTTGGTGTTGGTGCCGATCGCTGAGCCTCCCGCCTCGCTTCGCCCTGCCGTGCCCGTCGCGCTGTGCCGCCCGCGCCGCACTTCCGCGGCGCAGGCCCCAGCCCTGCAGGGCCGAGCCGCGGCGGCGACGGCCGCGCCGACAGCCGCGCGCGCCGACAGCCGCGCGCCGAGGCCTCGCGCCCGAGGCCTCCTGCGCTGGGCGGCCTCGGCGCGCCCGCGGCGGCTGGCGCCCGTGGCCGGCGCGGCTCGGCCTCGGGCGCCGCCCGGGCGCCTTCGTCGCCTCTTCGGGGTGCGCGTGCGCCCTCGGGTCCCGGCGCCGAAGAGAAGAGATGACGACGGACGGCGCCGAAGAGAAGTGATGGCGACGCGCGGAACACGGGTTCCCCTGAGACCCTGGCGTTGCAATTTTTTCGAGCCAGGCGTTTTCGAACAGTTTCGGGCCCGGGGACCCTTGCAGGTCGGTCCGGCTCGAAAAATGATACAGAAAGATTGGGTTTGGGGCTCCGGTCGTGATTTTCTACGATGTTGCAATTTTTCACTGCGTCGGAACTCAGGGTCCACTCCCGCGTAAGGCCGCGCGTGAAGTGCCCTCTTCTCCACGCGGTGAGCCGCGATGGTACCTCGCGTGAGCCACCGCGTAAGTTTGCTATCTAATCTTGCGTGAGGCCCGTTTTTTTTTCGTCGCTCAGATGGCGACGGCAAGAGGCCCCAGGTCTCCGAGGGGTCATGCTTGCCGCGGTCCGGCCGTCCTTCCACTTCTGCGGCCCGTCATCCGGCCCAGGGGCTTTAAAAATTTGTACAGTCGGACCGATGTCTAAGATCTAGGTCGGTTCG